CGTCTAAATGATTATGAAATGCACTACGAAATAACTGTGTTCTTGGGATACTAGGTAAACATTTGATTCAAATGGTTTAAAACCTACAATTCTTTGTACCCTAAAAAATCAGAGATTTTGAATGCCAGACACAAAAATCTGTAACTGTTATTACACAACTGAAACTTATTCATCCATGAAAAAAAATGTCACAAAAAACAGCAGGTTTCACAAATGGAAAGGCTATCAAGTTTATTTATGGCAACAGATTGGACAGTAATTAGTTTTTCTGTTCGATTTATGATAAAGAAATTTTACAAAGAAATTTACAAATATGTTTGCAGGTATAAATTTCAAATAAAATTCCATGTTATATGCAGAGAAAGGCTCTGCAAGACCCATGTAGTGTGAATTCCAAAATAATACAGAACCTGTCTGTAAAATTATGCTACTGTATATTTTTATACTTCCAAATTATGTCATTTTGGAATTTATACAATCATTTTCCACACCAAGTTTTGGGTAACCAATGCAATTAGCCAGCAATAAAAAAAAAATTTATGTATATAAATGTTTGTAAAATTATTCTACTGTCATTTTTCTAAATTTACAGACATGTTCGACATACAAAAATTTAGTAGATCCAGGCATTAGGACAGGTGCCTGCCCCCTCTCCCATTATGAACAAAAATTGTGTTTTTCTATATATTTTTTTTTTTATCTAATTGCAATGTTACAAGCTGTTCATGTGGACTACTGTTATGGGGTTCAAAATTTTCAAAAATATTATCCTTTTCTACTCAAAAAACAAACTGAGGGATATTATGCACTCTTTACCAAATTTGTTTTTTCATGGTTTGATTAAACAAGTTTGAATAAAATTAAATGTTCAAATCTTAATGTCTTTGGTTTAAAAAATTTTACCATTAGTAGTTCAGAACTTCTATATTAATGCTCAAAACATCTGTTACTTGCATTTGAATTGTTAATGTAATTATATAGCCTTTATATAACCCATGATAACAATAACAAACTTTTTTTTCATATCAAACACATTTTCCTTATTACTATCAATACCGACTTTACTATTGATGTAATTTTACAGGTAGAACATAATATTTTTCTCTCTTTTGGAAGTTGGCAGATTATAAATACAATTTTTACCTAAATTGGTCATTTACTCATTGGAAACACCTCTTTATTGTCATTTAATCAAAGCTTACAAAATTACTATCATGACTATACTGACACCATTTATAAGGAATAAAAATTTAGGGAAAATAATCACACATCCTTACCCATTATAAACATTAGCATTAATAAAAGTACATATGTAACAGTATGAAATATCCCTTTAACACCATCAAACAGTCATAAAAATCATTTTTAGTAGTTCTGGTTTAAAGTAATTAAGCTTCATACCAAATTTTTGCTTCATTGATGTCATGTGTACTTTATGGGGCGAAAGGACCATTTTCTGGAATTCAGGATTGAGCTGTTTAATTAGCAGGAATTCAGGAACAGTCAGTGAAATTGTCAGGAATTCTAAATTAAATTTATCATGATGCATTGCAGGGAAACGACACATTATTTTTCAGGATGACATCCAATTCCTCCCTGTACTCCTTATATTCTTTTTTCATTGACAAAATGTGATAAAGCCTCATTTGCAAACAAAGATCCTAAAAATAAGACCTATTCTAAAACCTGTGAAATTCATTAAAACTAATCAATACCGAGTTGTCATCAAACACAATAGAATTAACCTGAACTTATTTGCACCATTCTATTTATGTGTAAAATATGTTACTGCTATAACAAAATATCTATCAATTTTTTGCACCAGTTTTTAAAGTGTGACAAATATCCTCCTGGAATCACACTGAACAGAATTTAATTAAAACCAATTAATCAAGCATACAAACAGCTGATGTAAGAAAAGCACAAAGCTTGGGAATTACTATTTTCCTCCATAATTTGGAGGACATTATACAATCAATGATCAGCCAGATGGTATTGATCATTGCATTTAATGATAACTTTATAATAAATATACACTATAAATGTCTCCTTTTGTTGTTATACCCTTAGAAATCTAAACAATTTGATCTTCATGACCTTGAAAGCTATTTTCTGTATACTATGTTGCTATGCCAAACCAGAAGAATTTTGAAAGAATTTATCATTTCCACTGTAACATTCCTTGTGAATCAAATTTAAGATTAAATCTCAATTTCCTTGTTCATTTTGTAAATAAAACAGGCTTACTGACCACTTCTAGATATTTTAGGGTCCCAAAAACATTTAAGCCCTATTTATCAGTTGTAATTTCAGAAGGTAACACTTCTTGCATACTAGTTAAATATCGCCTTTTGTCAATTCATTCACAGCAATGAAAATTAAAGGTTTATTGTAATTCAAATTGTCAGTTTTAAACAGAGCTTATTCTTTGCCAGATATAGTCATGATGTTGCAATAAACATTTCAACTTTATAGTAATGGAATTTGAAATTTCTTGAACCAAAAAAAAACAGAAGCATAATATACATTTATTTCCCATGCCTGAGGGAGAAAAGTCAATTAAACCACATATTTACCGAAATAAAAGACAGTTATTGTTTTATTCCATTTTCCCAGAGAAAACAATGTATTTGAAGTCAAATATTTACCAACACCAATTGTATATCAAACATTTTACTATAACGTTACAGTTAAAAGCATGTGACGTTCAGCTCGGTGAATATCACTTTTCTCCAGGTGAATATGCTTTTTTATCCAAAATCCAATTCATAAAGAGAAAACATCCTAAAATTATATCAATATGGAATAAGAAGATTTGTTCACCAAAGAAAAGTCATATTTCGCGATGGCATTGCCCGAGGGAAATATGACTTTTCGAGGGTGAACAAATCTTCATATATCCCTGAGCCAATGAAAATGAATGTTTTATTCCACTGCTTATACTTTTTTTATTTCCTGAACATAAAATATTAATTTACAAAATTTTTTTTTCTTATCCTCATGTTTTTATAACTAAACATGACATAAACAATAATGATAATTAGTACAAAAGTTAATCATTCATTTTTTTATTTATTTATTTTATTTTTTATCTGAACTAATTTTGAACATGAAATTACTATACTATCTCATTTAAACTGTTGTATATATATACATAAACCGTGTGTAAAGTCGCAAAAGGAAGTCCTGACCTTCAGAGTGGAATATGATATATACTCACAGGGGAAAATGAAGTTTTGTTCAACGTCACATTGGATAGTCTAAACCAATCAAATGTTGATTTCGCTATTAATATTTACCGGTACATGATTTAAATGCAGTGGAATAATAATTCACTTTTATATTAATGTCTTTCTAAATTCTATTATATTTGTCCTGATTTTTGATTTACCTCATAGGTGGTCTCCTGGTAGCCACGAAGAAGGTCAGATTAAAGACTTGAAATTTCAGGTATTAGCTTTTTCTCTATTATGAATGCAAAATTTAAGAGTAAGACTGAACCTTAAACACCAATTAATCATTCAATCCATCCTAATTATTCATAAAAAATATAATAATCATAACTATATAAAGATAATTACCATTATGAAGTAAAATGCATAAAGGTGCAAGTTATAAATCTTACTTATTTTTCAAGAATGTGATTATAATCTTGAAAGGATTCACCTACATACACCCATCTAACTTTGAGCAAAAACTGTAAAAACCATTATGATTTTGTTTTTTTTTGCAAAAAGCCTACATATGTATGACAGATGTATCAATATTAGTGTATAAAACATCAAATTCTGGAAAAACTATCCCCTGAGGTATGATTAGATCAATTTAATTACAAAACAGATCTTCCTTACATCTGACAATATTCAGTTCTTTGACTTTTAGTTCAGAACCATTTCCTGGATCCTCAGGGTCTTAATGTCATTGCTTGACGTTATAATTATCAGAACAGATTGTTGAACTGAGGGATGTCAGATCCTTCATGTCCATGAAGCCAAGTGTGGACTCTGTCCTGGATCCTCATGGTCTTAATGACATTGCTTGACGTAATGATTATCAGAACAGATTGATGAACTGACCGATGTCAGATCCTTTATGTCCATGAAGCCAAGTGTGGACTCTGTCCTGGATCCCCAGGGTCTAATGTCATTGCTTGACGTTATAATTATCAGAACAGATTGTTGAACTGAGCGATGTTAGCTCCTTCATGTCCATGAAGCCAAGTGTGGACTCTGGATTTGTATTTCAATTAGATTGATTTACGACCAAAACAGGGAAAAAAATAGAATATATAATATTTTCTACACCAACAGAAAAGGCCTTAAAAAAGCAGCCAAAACAGGGAGCCTGTGCCAGATCAACTTATTATTTAATCAAATGTCTATCTAAGGGACTGTAACTTCAAATGAAAAATAAATTATTGTTCTGGAAACTGGCAGTCCTGATGGTCCTAACCGCACAAAAATACAGGAAGGTCCCATCTATAATCAGTGTAGTGGTCCTGATGTCCAAATAAGAGTTTGTGTCCTGATGTCCAAATAAGAGTTTGTGGTGGTTTATTCTTTTTTAATCTGTCTGGAATTTAGTATAGCTTCTTAGAACCTGGAACCATATAGTTATGAGTGTGTGGAAGGGGGTATACAGAATGGGCCAAAAATATAAAGAATAAAGAAGAATGGACCAAAAAAATAAAGAATAGAGAATATTGACGGCCAAAAATATAAAGAATAGAGAATAATGGGCTTAAAATTAAAGAATACAGAAATGAAGGACCTCCCATCCCAACCCTCCGTTATTGTGCAAATTGACCTAATCTTATTTATACCTTCATGTCATGCATGTATAGAAATAATTGATAGCAAAACTGTCTTCAAAAACAGGACCATCAGATTTGTTTGTACATGTGTAGTCTAGGTGGTTCTAAAGACCACCAGGCCAGAAAAGATTTCTGGAAATAAATAAATAGACTCCAGACATATTTCTATAAGTATTTTTGTACTTACCTAAAACTTCCGTACACAATCAGTAAAATGGAAATAACGAAGGTTGATAACCTAGAAGAATCCATGATCGACAAGGTCCTGAAATCAGATTAATAAAATGTAAATGAACTTGGAACAGATTATTATTTGCACATGCTTGCTAACAACATGCATGTAACTTTAAATCTGTTTTGGTCTCTCATATCGGTTTTAAAATTATAAACATGAAAATTTTGACATGAGGAAAATAGTGGTTCGTCAGCAGTCGTATTTTGTTCACCAGATGAAATCAAAAATCATATCTTGAGATATTGGTGAAGCTTAGCACGATCCTTGGAAGTCTTCATTCTTTATTTGGCCTTTAATTTTTTTAATTTATATGATTCGAGCGTCACCGATGAGTCTTTAGTAGACCTAAACAGGAGTCTTGTATCTATGGTGAGTTTCATTCATAGTATCTTAACTAAACGTTAGACCTAACTTTGACATGACAATTTACCTCAAATAAAAATTAGTCATATATGCTTGTTCAAATATTTGTTAATTAAATCCAGTTAGACATGTGTCATGGTACATTTAGAATTTACATGTCCAACTTTATATTGATAACATGATCAATTAATGTACTGAATCTGTAAATCAAATTTGAATTGACACATAATGAATGATGATAAATACTAAGTGCAATGTTGAGTGTCTTAGTGATGGCTTAGAAATCTATCTCTGATTACATGTACATATATAGATTCTACCACGCCACAACCTCGTCCCTCGTTGATTCCAGTCGAGATTACCCCTTTCAGTGGCACTTGACACTTTAAAGCAAAACAGGTGGTCTTAAATGAGATGCCAGGTTAAAGGTTGGAGGTTCAGGGGCGGATTCAGGTGGAGGCATGGTGGGCGTGCGCCCCCCTAAAATTTGCAAAGCATGGGTTGTCCTCAGCTTAATAAAGAGTATTTCAATAATTTTACCTAAAAAAAAATTAAGCCAATTTTTAAAATTTAAGTTTGCGCCCCCCCCCCCCCCCCCCCCCCCCCCTCCAAACCTAAATTCCTGGATTCGCCCTGACGTTGGATTTGATCATGTTGGAGCCACATGTATATTGTAGTCATTACTGGGTAAAATGCTGTGTACATGTAGCTAAAAAAGCTGTTTCTGTCAGAATTTATTGGAAAATATTCAGTGCACTGTTTAAATTTGATTAGATATGGCTTGAAATTACCAGACACTGAACAGAACCAATTTAAATGCTTACAGAATTAGACAAATGTACAAATTTATATAAACAAAAAGAGTAAAAAACTGTGTAAATGTCTGTATAATATAGTGATATTACTGGGGTATTGCATTGTCTCAAACCATTTATAATACAAAATCTTGGAAATTAAATCATTTCTAGACTATTTTAAAACTTATACATGTATGTATTATGTACCTCTCTAAATAAAATATTATCAATTCTTTCAAATCCTCCATTTTCAGTGATAATAATGTGTTTTAGTATTTATTCCATGCAACAACCTTGAAAGCTCAATCAAACATTCCTATTAAATTCTCCTGCATGGAATTACTATCTTCCACCTGTGCTAATGTGTTTTTTTTACCTGTCAAATCATTATCACCTGTCTAAACCCTTAATCTCAATTATTATCACCTCTTCCATTATCATGATTAGTACCAATTAACACTTCTTTGTATACTTATTTCTTTGTATACTTATCTAGAGAAGCTCTACATGTATAGTACAGACAGTGATTAAAAAGTGTCAGAAATTGACACCATATTTTTTTTTCTTCCGAAATGATGACACATTTAATACATACATTGACATTGTACACGTACATGTAACTGGTGTTTCCTTAGAAAATATTTTGACAAAAATCAATACTGAGAATTTATTATTATTCATGGGACACCAATTTCAATGGATTTCTTTCGTATAAGATTTTATAAAACCACAAATTTAAATGTTAGTACAAATTATCTAGAGGCTGGTATGCAGACTTTAGCAAAAATAACAAAATCAAATATACAGAGAATACAATTTTTCATCAATCCACGAAAACTAGTATCCACAATACCAAGGGCAGACAATTCAAAAAGTTACTGTACAGAACTGAATGCATTGATATTTCTAAAAAAATTCCACTCATAGATATCTAAGAATACATCAATTTCATTTGTCTAGAGTTCATTTTTTTTGTAATGATCACACATGGCGATATGAGTACTAAATAAACTGTATTCATACTATTAAAACGGGCAAAAAGCTGTTAAGTTCAACTTTATTGACATGCTGAAAATGTTGACTTTAATTCACACATATATTACATGTATTAGCAACTCAACTAAGAAATTTAAGTTCAGTGGCATGAAAATGGTTGTAGAGCAGTATAAATACCTAGAGAAAAGGGGAAAGATTTTACATTTATAAATATGATTATGTAAAACATTTTGTATACCTATTTTTATATTGTTATGACTCTTAACACCCCCCCCTCCAAATTCCATCCCAATCCTGTCAACACTAGGCCTGAGTTTACTTGTCAATTATATACATGATATATAATATATATATATACTTGTGGGTATTTAGGTATTAGATTATTTTGTATATATGCAAACAATAAATTAATTTGCTCTTGGAAGATACTTGAACTTACAAATAAAGGGAAAGGGTTAGACATTTTTTATTGACATATTTGTGTACTTTAATAAATATCTTGTGATAAAACAAACTTTAACTTTATGTTATCAGGAAAGCTACATGTAATCCTATTGAAAATAAATGAGGTTTACACTGCCATACATGTAAACTTTAAACAAATTGTAAATTCTTTGTGCATGTACATGTATATAGTAGACTTTATTTGTTCCTTTTAAATATTTTCAAGTGTTTTCCTCAGTAATCCTGTAAATCCAGCATTTTTTTTAATGGACGATTTTCTTTGTCTGAATTGTGTATAGTCATCTGGTCTGTAAACAAAAGGCCTAAGTGTACTAACAGGACAAAAATACGACTTGCTTTCCATTCGTTTGATGTGTTACATTTGAGCTTTTGATTTTGCCATTTGATAAAGGACTTTCCGTTTTGAATTTCCTTAAGAGTTCAGTATTTTTGTTATTTTACTTATTATACACGATATCTACCACTTCACAAATACCATACCAATGTATTTATGTGGTATGTGTATTTACATAACAAGACACTAACACCATGATTGTAAGTTTAATTTTACCAAAGTAAATCACCATACCAAAATTAAATCCCATCGATAAAACCAAGTGACAAATAAACTTTAATTTACAGTAATAAACCCCTATTAACAGAACTGCAAGCTTATATACATGTACATGTACCTTTAAAAACATTAAGAAAATTTCCTTTCCAAGCCCCATTTTTTCATACACTGTACCTTTTACAACTTTATTTATTTATTGATTTGATTGTATTTTTATACTATGATAATTCTTCACACCTTTTGCAACTTTATATACATATAATAATTCAAATTTATTCCTATATGAGTCTGGATAAATATTTGCATGAAAACTTTTTAAAGTATAGGGTATATTTGGATCTCTCAGACTCTGGGACTAATATATAAATGTATTAATCACAAGTTCTCTTTCAACATCTTAACTTGGAAAATCTTATAGCATCAAATATTTTCATGCATTATGGTTTTACAAAGTTGGTAGGTCTGATATTAAATAGACAGTGCTTTTAGAGAATTTTTTTGTGTTAAAGTTGAAAAAAATTCGTAAGGGTTCCGCGGAACCCAGTGTCTCGCCTACTTTTTGCTGTTAATCACAGGCTCAGCAAAAATGAGGAAAAAAATTAATAAAAATATTCCTCTCTATACTATCTTTTGATTGTAAGTAGCTTCTGTCCAAGTTTGGTAAAAATCCAGGATAGTTTATGAATCTAATAAATGTTTTAAAAACTTAAACTGCAGACTGTATGTAATGTAAACTGGAAGAAAAACTAAGTCCATTTATAAGTAAAATACGGAAAAAATGGAACAAAATTTCCTTCTAGATACTAGCTTTTAATCATAAACAAGCTTCTGTCTAAATTTGGTACAAATCCAGGATAGTTTAAGAAAGTTGTTAAAATTTTAAAAACTTTAACCACAGAGTGAATGTAATGTTTAAACTGGCAGAAAAACTAAGTCCATTTATAAGTAAAATACAGAAAAAATGGAATTTTTTTTTTACAAAATTTACTTCTGGATACTATCTTATGATCATAAACAAGCTTCTTTTTTAAGTTTGGTAGAAATCCAGGATAGTTTAAGAAAGTTATTAAAATTTCAAAAACTTTAACCACAGAGTGAATGTAATGTTTCCTGGCAGAAAAACTAAGTCCACTTATAAGTAAAATACGGAAAAAATGGAATTTTTTTTTACAAAATTTACTTTTGAATATTAACTTATTATCATAAACAAGCTTCTGTCCAAGTTTGGTAGAAATCCAGGATAGTTTAAGAAAGTTATTAAAATTTCAAAAACTTTAACCACAGAGTGAATGTAATGTTAACTGGCAGAAAAACTAAGTCCATTTATAAGTAAAATACGGAAAAAATGGAATTTTTTTTTTACAAAATTTACTTCTGGATACTATCTTATGATCATAAACAAGCTTCTTTCCAAGTTTGGTAGAAATCCCGGATAGTTTAAGAAAGTTATTAAAATTTCAAAAACTTTAACCACAGAGTGAATATTTGTGGACGCCGCCGACGACGACGACGACGACGACGCCGACGCCGACGGAATGTAGGATCGCTATGTCTCGCTTTTTCGACAAAAGTCGAAGGCTCGACAAAAATAAGTAGCAATCACTTTCATCTTTAATGCCAAACATAAATTAAATTTGCATTGATACATTTTGCTATGAGAATTACATTTGAATATAATACAATATTGTAGAGACAATGTCATCATCTATATAACAGTGTATAAGGAGATGATGAGGCATTCTGGCCCTCTGGCCACTAATTATATATAACTCCATGAGCTCAGCAACAGTAAATGGTTAACATGAGTGACTATGCAATAAATCATAGCAAATTTCCTTCATAGGACCAATAGAATACAAAGACAATTGTACATCAAGGTCATTGTACATGTCCATTTAAAATATCACTTGACCTGATGATAAAGAGACAACAGATACTTATAGAAGTATTTGTCTACGTAAGATCAACAAAGCCACTTGATTTTAAATCTTGTACTTCAAATATTATTGCATTGTCGGACAATTGTGGTAAATAAAGAAGGGATTTTGGTGCCCTTCATAAGTTTCTCAACCTTCATCAGTTTGGCTCCAGATAAAAAATATGGGAAGCTAGGGATTTTCTGAACCAAACAAGCGTTAAATAGAACAGCCAAAACTCTCCTAGATAAAACATCACCTTAGGAAATTGCAAATTTAGTTTACGATCAGTTAGAACAGTTTTTTCCTAATTTTTCAGTTTGAAGAACCATGCCCCTTATATTACATTGTACATGGTTTTTTATCAGTGGTTTTTATACATGCATTAAAGGGACAAAAAATGTCAAATTCCTGTAAAGTTTTGAAAACTTTCATACATGAATAGGATTGAGAATGGAAACGGGGAATGTTTCAAAGAGACAACAACCAGACCAAAGAGCAGAAAACAGCCTAAGGCCACCAATGGGTCTTCAAAACAGCGAGAAAATCCAGCACCCAGAAGCTTTCTTTTTATCATTAAATGAGCAGTCACTCACTGTGTGATGTGGTCTTCAAATGGAAATACCAGATAGTACAAATAATTGAAACTTACGAGACAGCAGCAGCAGCGTCCGCCATTTGTTCCTCCGGCATCACCTGAGGTGGCATGGTAGTTGATGGTTTCTTTTACTCCTCAATTGTCAATGAGCACTACAAAAAGAAATAAACCAGGTATAAATAACATATACTTTGTGTACATGTATATATATTGGACTCATTTTTTTTTAATTTTGTCTCATTCTCAACTACAACAAAGGTTTCTTCATGCAATGATATGAATAAACTTCATACATGTTCTTAAACAAAAGACGTGAAGACAGATTTCAAATGAAAACATTTTTTTGTAAATACATGAAATAGTTGATTAAACAAAACTTATGTTTAACATCTGGTACATGAAAATCTTTCAAAAATTTTTTTTCAAAAAAGGTTGGTACATGTATAAATGTACATGGTTTACAAATGTATGACTAAACATTTCACTTAACAATTGATCAAATTGTTACATATTTGAAGAAAATTATTAAAACACATTAACCATTAACATTTATATATGCCCTGTAATGTGTATGTGAAATTAATGGAATTGATGAAGAATAAAAGTATGGAAGACCATTGACAGGTAATCTCTTAGATTAATCCAGGAATCATGGACGCATAAAACATAACAGGACTTACAATTTTCTTAACAGACAATAAGTCCAAGGCAGTTAATTAAAAAGGAACTGAATATAAGTGAGATAAAACTTTCCCTGAAATATTTAGCTGATAATATAGTTCAATTTTCTGTTAAAACTTGTAAAAAGACTTCATAAGTTTTACCTGTTCTATACTGCTACAGTCAAGTGTTATAATATATGTATTTTAAGTAAAAACATGTAAAAACCGACAGAAAATAAACATGATATGAAATCCCGTAGCTATACATCTTAGATTATTGCTGTGTAAAAAGGTGAATGTTCATTAATAATTGACCTTTCATAAGATATATACATCACTTATAAACAAGCAACAACTATTTTCTTCAGGGTAAAAACATTACTTTATAATTATACATGTATCTTTTTTCTCACCCAGATTAAATTATATACACTCCATAAATAAAATAACTCCAGTGCTTCACAATTCCATGCTTCAATATTTGAATAGTGGTTTGCTAAAGAACTAAATGAAATTTTAAGGAAGTGGTGTGCATTTTTTGTTACTAATTAATTGGTTTGACTTGACGATTGAGACATTCTGTAAGATAATCAATGGTAAAACATCAAAATCAGTTGTTACGATTCAGTAGTAAATGTACTTTGAAAAAATTGATTTAATGTAAAACTTCTGTTTTAATTCTAAGTGCAGTATGTTGTATATATATTTGAGTTCACAATGGTTCATAAGACACATTGTTTTTCATCCTCATATGTACAAGAAAAATTAAAAGATACATAAAACAAAAAGGGAACAACCCAATGTTCAATCCTTCTAAATCAATTTTGCCTGAGTGAGGGGGGAAACTTCATAACAATTTTCACTTATTTCCTTTGTCTGAGGGGCTGAAACTATTACAATGTAAACATCAATGTACCAGCAATTGGAAATTTTCAGCAAAACCACCTAATAATGTGTATTGAAAAGTTCTGTGTAAGACGACTGTACATACATGTATGGTTAACATGGATACATTTGTACAAGTTACATGTAATTCTTACATGTCAAAAAACACATATACACGTCAAAGCAATCATAAATCAGCTATATTACTGTCATTATTTACAATCGTTTTATATTTCTCCTAATGATAATTTATCAACTAATTTTATGTTATAATCATTCCATTAGACAGAACAAATTCAATATTTTGAATAATCAAAGAATACCACTGAGCAATGAGAAGGAAATAGTAGCTAGAAATTAATTATTTAGTGACCCTGGGTCTAATATTGCAGCTATGGGAATGCAATTTTTTTTTTAGAAATTAATGATTTATTGGCCAGATTATCATATTGTTTAAAATGACACTTATCACAGTATCATAACTAATTCTATTAACAATATCTATGGTGCATTGTTCTTGCATATATACATGCATTTAGTACCTGACGGATATCATGTTCAATCAAATAAAGTTATAACTGAAGCATGCAGCTCTGGGAATGAAATAATAATTATAAATGAATGATTTATTGCCCAGAGTCTTAAATTGTTTAGAGTAAGGCTTATTGCAGTAGGAAGACAATTTCTAATGAAGTTCTATGATGCATTGCTCTTGCATATAACAAACCAAATTAACTAACGCATACATGTACATGCAATTCCAAGTATTTTTTTGTTGAGTTTTGTGTATTATGGTTTGTCTTTTAGTCATTTTTCTTTTTTTTTCCATGGCATTGTCAGTTTGATTTCAATTTTTAAGTTTGAATATCTATTCCTTTGGTATATCTTTCACTTCTCTTTGTACTTATTTTTGACCCAAGAAATAAATGTAACATGTGTCCTCGATTCATGAATATCAGACTGGGTTTATTATTTTCTGAACTGATGAGTCCTACTCCAAAAATAATGTGCATTGAATTTGAATCCTCTGACATCATTGTCAAGTCATCAACTTTCCATTGCAAAAGTTTTAAAAAAATAAACTGACATTTTAATCCTTTCTTATTCTTTTTGATTCTGTTATAAAGACGGCTTAACATGCTTAAAGAGGTTGTGTTCCTTGCACAAAAGCTGCCCCAACAGAGTTACCTGTATGAGAAAGTACAACTGAAATCAACACTACTACCATCCAGCTGTCACCATCACAAATTGGTTTGTCAATGTATATATGATGTGTCTGTGTCTCAAATTATTTAAATCTTAAGATACAGTACACACAAGGGATCCAGTTAAAAATCTCTAGGTGGTGAATTCTCCTAGTAAATTTTGTTTTGATTTTCCTGTGTAAAACTGAAATATCCAAAAGGACAATTATCGCATTGTAAGCTACAAAAGGTCCTAATATGACAAATGTAAATCAATTCAAACAAAACTATAAGCTAACAGCCTGATTTATGTACAAAATGTACATAACAATAAACGAAAACCTTATATGATATACAGCAGCAAAGGACAACCACTGATTTAAAGGCTCCTGACTTGGGACAGGCACATACAGAATATAGCAGGGTTAAACATGTTTGATGGCCCCAAACCCTCACACTAATCTAGGACAGCAGTGTAACAGTACAATGTATGAAAGTCCAATTATTAGTAAAATAGAGAAAAATGCAAAAAAGTATTTTCAAAATTTTTCTCTGTATACTGTCTTTTGTTCAGAAGAAAGCTTTTTACAAAGTTATTGCTGTAAACAACTATTCATGCAGTTAGTCCAGGGAAATTCAAGAAAAGAAGAAAATATCTCCTATTATTTATATAAATTAAAAAAAATCTGAATGTCTAAGGGATATAACTCTACCTCCAAAATAATTTACCTGTACCAGTAAATAAAAAAAAACATTTGTATAAGTGTTTCACCAGACTGATTGGGATCAATGTATTTATTGTTTACATGATAACTACATCATACATGGGCACTAACCCAGTCCTGTTCAAGGTTTAAAATGGATCATGACATTTCTTCTGGTCCTACGGACTCAAAACAGAGATTGAGCAAAAGATATCAGAGTTGTGTATTTGCAAGATGTTCATAATATACTGTAATTTGATGACCATCTTAATATGCAACAGCATTTTAATTTTCAATAAAATGCTTCGCTAGGGCGCAGCTTGATACGACCGCAGAGGTCGAACCCTGAACAGTTGGGGCAAGTATGGACACAACATTCAAGCTTGATACAGCTCTGAATTTGGATTGTTATTAAATATTTGACACAGCATAGGTTTCTGACACAGAAAGAATGTGGTCTAAGAACTTGAATTTTTTTAATTTACCTATTATGGTCCAATGTCCAAAATCAAAATACATGGTTAGATTCAGCATATCAAAGAACCCCATATATTCAATTTTTGTTAAAATCAAACAAAGTTTAATTTTGGACCCCAACTTGGACAAACTTGAAAACTATGCCCATAATAAAAAATCTAAACACATGTTTAGATTCAGCATATCAAAGAACCCCAAGAATTCAATTTTTGCTAAAATCAAACTAAGTTTAATTTTGGACCCTTTGGACCTTAATGTAGACCAATTTAAAAAACGGGACTTAAAATTAAAAATCTAGAATATACAGTTAGATTTGGAATATCAAAGAACCCTTATAATTCAATTTTTGATGAAATCAAAGAAAGTTTAATTTTGGACCCTTTTGACCTCAATATGAACCAATTTGATAGCGGAGCCCACAAATAAAAAATCTAAATTCATGGTTAGATTCAGCATATCAAAGAACCCCATATATTCAATTTTTGTTGAAATCAAAAAAAATTTAATTTTGGACCCCAACTTGGACCAACTTGAAAACTGGGCCCATAACAAAAATCTAAACACATGTTTAGATTCAGCATATCAAAGAACCCCAAGAATTCAATTTTTGCTAAAATCAAACTAAGTTTCATTTTGGACCCTTTGGACCTCAATGAAGACCAATTTAAAAAACGGGACCCAAATTAAAAATCTAAAAACACGGTTAGATTTGGCATATCAAAGAACCCCAATAATTCAATTTTTGATGAAATCAAACAAAGTTTAATTTTGGACCCTTTTGACCTCAATATGAACCAATTTGATAACGGGGTCCACAAATAAAAAATCTAAATACATGGTTAGATTCAGCATATCAAAGAACCTCAAATATTCAATTTTTGTTGAAATCAAAAAAAGTTTAATTTTGGACCCCAATTTGGACCAACTTGAAAACTGGGCCCATAATCAAAAATCTAAATACATGTTTAGATTCAGCATATCAAAGAACCCCATATATTCAATTTTTGTTGAAATCAAACAAAGTTTAGATACTGGACCCTATCTTGGACCAACTTGAAAACTGGGCCCATAATCAAAAATCTAAACACATGTTTAGATTCAGCATATCAAAGAACCCCAAGAATTCAATTTTTGTTAAAATCAAACTTAGTTTAATTTTGGACCCTTTGGACCTTAATGTAGACCAATTTAAAAAACAGGACCCAAAATTAAAAATCTAAATACACAGTTAGATTTGGCATATCAAAGAACCCCAATAATTCAATTTTAGATGAAATCAAACAAAGTTTAATTTTGGACCCTTTTGACCTCAATATGAACCAATTTGATAACGGGGTCCACAAATAAAAAATCTAAATACATGGTTAGATTCAGCATATCAAAGAACCCCACATATTCAATTTTTGTTGAAATCAAACAAAGTTTAATTTTGGACCCCAATTTGGACCAACTTGAAAACTGGGCCAAAAATCAAAATCTAAATACATGTTTAGATTCAGCATATCAAAGAACCTCATATATTCAATTTTTGCTAAAATCAAACAAAGTTTAATTTTGGACCCTTTGGACCTTAATGTAGACCAATTTGAAAACTGGACCCAAAATTAAAAATCTAAATACACTGTTAGATTCGGCATAACAAATAAATAAATGTGATCAAAGATTTTACAAATCTAATGCGCCATACTGTGCAATTAAAGATTACTTCTTGAAATTTTTCAATATTTGAAATTTGAAAAAAAAATAATATTTGAAGAATAATTCTTTTTAATTTCTGAAATCTGAAATAAGAAAAAATTGACCCCCCACAATTTCTTTTTATCCCCCCCCCCCCCCCTTTTTTCCCCAAAAAAATTCTTTCCCTCAAGATATGGTCATAATCTCAATTCAAATTTCCAATGGAGTTGGCAACCATAATTACCCATTTAAATTTACCATAGTGCTAACTTAATCTATTTTATAATAGAATTAAAAATATAGTGTCAAATCTTTCATATGGATTTTTTTGTAAAAAAAAAAGATGCAACATTTGCAGATATTTTTACTGGTCTTCCTTTATAAATATGCATTTCTTTAAACATAATTTAAAAGCAGTGTAAGGGAAGTAACCAAAACGTTGTATTTGGATTACCTCCCTTACACTGTTTTAAATTATCTTTATTGTTCATTAACCATTACTTTATACATAATTTTAAAGCAGTGTAAGGGAGATAATTTCAATGATGAATTTGATTTATCTCCCTTACACTGCTTTAAATTATGTTTTGTACTAAAGTATTTGTCCATTAACCAGGACAACCTTGTTTTTCCCCCTTTTTTGCCCCTAATTCCTAAACGGTTTGAGCCATAACCCCCCAAAGCAAATCCTAACAATCCCTTTGTGGTATGGAAACTTGTAGTATAATTTCAGAGAGATCCATACACTGTTCCACAGTTATTGTCTGGAAACTAGAAAATGCTTATTTTTGGCCCCTTTTTGGCCCCTAATTCCTTAACTGTTGGTACAATAACCCCCAAAATCAATCCCAACCTTCCTTTTGTGGTATTTAACCTTATGGTCAAATTTCAAAAAGATCCATTCATTTAACTAAAATTAGAGTGCGAAAACCAGTGTGTATTCGGACGACGACGCCGGACGACGACGACGCCGGACGACGACGACGACGACGACGACGACGACGGCGACGACGCCAACGTCATACCAATATACGACCACAAAATTTTTTTGCGGTCGTATAATTAATTGAATTCAATAAGCTTTCTTTTGAAGAAGAAAGTGGAAAATGTAGTTTTAATTTCCTCTTATTTCTGATAGATGTTTTATTTTTGGATTAATAGATTATAAATGTCTATAAAAATTTATGAATTTGTTATAGTTTGCTTTATTATTTACCAGGATTGTTACATAGCATAATACATGATAATAAACTTGTGCATCTGTTTTCTGTTGACCCTCCCCCTTTTTGTTATTTCCAACACAGGTCACATATGTGTAGTTTTAAATTTTCACCATTACCTTCGAATGTAATATCCAATAAAAGTGTATAGCATGTATATGTCTTTATCAACTATGAAGCTCTGTCCAACGATAATTGCCTTTACTTTTTATTCACGGACTGAATGTAAATATCTGAATGACCTCATCGACCACATAATTTGTCCGGATTAAATAGAACAAAGAATACGTCGTGCCTTTTGGAGCATCATTGCAAAAACATCATGAACTCCTTTTACTATCTCGTGCATATACACACAGATCCTCTGTTCACCAGTTGAGTTTTAATCAGTCAAATTAAAGCTCACGATTTCTTACTCCTTTTGTTTATATTTTCATTTTGACCGCATAGCGAATAGTAATACACTTACGAGACAAAATATTTCTATGTTATCTAGATTATTATGAACAAAGTAAACGAAATATATAATAAAGCAAATCCAATTTTGATATATTTATATTAATATTATATCTGATACAAATGCTGATGCAAACAACGACAAAAGACTGTCGAATTATATATTTACTTAAGCGTAGTAATATTTGCAAGTGCTCTCTAAGGGAGATAACCGAGTTTTCGCGCAATTTTCAAACCTCTCTGCATAAGGAACTTATCATTTTTTATCTGGGAGGGGGGGCTGGTCAAAATGCAGGGGGGATCAAGTTTTTTTTCTGTTTGTGGACAAGGGGGGTTCAATTTTTTTTATAAATTCAAAGTGGGGGGATCAATATTTTTTGCACTTGGAAATAAGTAGTTCACATACTTCAAGAGACAAAATGTCAAGAAGAACATCACAACAGTCAAATTGAAATATATTTTAACACCATTCATATACAATTAAGTAAGACATCACAAGACTTTGGTGATGTAGGAAGCTGCCATTTTGTGTCATTTTGTCCTATATAAAATGCATAGGTGCTTTATAATCCGAATAATTCAGTTGTTATATTTCACTCACGTCGATCACTAAATTAACAAGCATTATTGCCAGTGTATCTTATTGTTTTCATTACAAGAGCCCTTTGGGTCCATTCATACTTCTCACTCCTTCAAAATTTGTAATTTTTAGGCTAATAAATCAAAAATTTGAGGTTACTATCACACATTTATGAATGAAATGTGACAATAAATGAGTAATTGAATTGTTCAAGCTGAAAGCATGAACTATCCATATAAAAGTTTAGCGACACAATGGAGGTTTCAATAAGGCCATATGTAAAACTTAAGTTTTAGCAGCGTTCAAGAGAGGGACATATAAATAATGTGTTGTTACTGTTTCAAAAAGTTTACTTTTTAATGTATATTTTTTACAGAGTTACTCAGAATCAAGATTTCTTTAATAGCCCAATATAGGAAATTAGAAAAAAAAGTCAGAAAAAGCTACTCAAAGCACTGGCTTGCTCTACCTACTAATATTCATGGAAGAGGCCTCATGGAAGAGCCCTATTTCAAGGCAATTTTCCCTCAAATAAGTTTTTGGACTCAATCCACTGAGAATATTTCATTTTCAATATTTCCTTGAAATAACACGATAAGTGATTTGCATGTTAAAATTTTGGCATGTTCAATAGAGGGGGGGATCACATTTTTCAAATGTTTTTACAGGGGGGATCAAATTAAAATAGTGAAATATTATGGGGGGATCAAGAAATTTTGTATGTATGATTTCAAAATGATCAGCCCCCCCCCCCCTCCCCCCTCCCAGGTAAAAAATGATAAGTCCCTAAATATAAAAAAAAAACAGCAAAAAAAAAAAAATCAAAGTTTTATTTATTGTCCATACATTGCAAACAAAGTAACACAAGCTCTAGTGAGCTTTTAAAATCGACAATATATATATATACAAACCTAAGAGTTGCGGCGTACCAATGATTCGTACATTCTCAGTCCTATAACATATGCCTTCACATTCTTATTTAATTTTTAACGTTTTTATACTGATATTTTTCTTTTTCTTTAATGCGAAGGTACACTTGTTAATTTGAAAATTTTAGCTTGCTGCGCGATTTTTGCCTTTCCCGATATGACATCGGGTGGCACATTGATCAGTAGTAAAAAAAATTAGCAAAACAAGTAAAAAGAAACTACCATGCAGAAATAAATATAGAAATAGAAAATAATGCCCCCGAGGTCATATGTTATAGGACTATCGTACATTCTTGCAATAAAACAAAAATAAAAACAAGGATACGTCCTTTAGAAAACTGGCGAAAAAACAGGAAACAAAAAGAAAATAAAAAACAAAAGCAACCACACAAAAACTCAGAATAAAACATGTAAAACAAACGAAGAAAACAAGAATTAATACAATCGGCCTAGAATGAAATTTTTTTTTAAAGAAATGTGAATAAAAACAGGTTTGGTTAAAATATTTGTTTGTTTGGTTGGTTGGCTAAACGCCAATGAGACAGCACAGGAAAAACCAAAGCTATATAAAGAACAACATGCGGTCTTAATTTAACAAAAGACAAGATGACTTAGTCTATTTAAGATTGCCTTCTGTCTAAAAAGGCCGTGCATGACATCAATGATTTAGCCTTTGGTGACATGGCTGAATTTATCAGAGAATATTTAAGTTTAGATTGATTGATTGGTGTTTAACGCAACTTTCAACACTCTTGTGCTATTTCGTGGTGGTCAGTTTTTATTGGTGGAGGAAGCCGGAGTGCCAGGAGAGAACCACCGACCTTCGGTAGGAAAACTGACAACCCTAGTCAATTAAGAGTGGAGTCGATTGCACCTGTCCCGTGCGGGATTCGAACTCACAACCTCAGTGTTGACTGGCTAGTGATACAGCAGTTCGACTACTTAGACCACTCGGCCACCGTGGCCCCTCAATGAAAATAAATATATGTATATTGGTATTTTATTTTTCTATCTTTCATAGTATGTTTCATTTAGTATCGTATGTCATATCGTAATATGTTTTGTTGTCTTTGTCGGGTATTGAAAGATATTTGCCGATTGGTTCCTGTCTACTGCCATAGCTTGCCATATTGTACTGTTAAAGATACCAGTCCAATTGTTGAAGACTCTATGCTTTCCTCTAGTAGTCTTCTGATTAATTTTCCTATTTGAACTTCCATTCCGAAAGTTATAAATGGAAAGGGAGATGAAACCTTTTTGTTATCGATCTCCATGGTGCTACAAGATTTAGAAATGGCTGCTGGAATTTTGCTATACAAATATTTATGAACATGACAAGTTCACTATGGAAAATTAAAAGTCTTATTCTCTTTTGTCGTAAAGTTAAGTTCTCAACCGTCTCTGTTGTTGATTTCTATGTGAACGCCAAAGAACAGACGTAACTGTATCCTGCATTCCCTTTTTTTATGAGATGGATATTATCAATATAAAATAACTATCACCACACTTTGAATTATTCAGTGAAAGCCTTTTATCTATAATATACTCAACAACTATAGAAAAGCAACACACCATTAAAGTCTTTGGAGTAAAAATATCTATTGCATATTACTTTTTTAAAAGTGATTGAAATACGTTTAAATTTTGTACACAAAGTTTCTGAAGTCAAAATCACCTAATTCTGTGACAATGAGAATTTCCTTATAATTCTAATATTGACATCTCAAAAACACTTTTTTAACCCCCTAAAAAACAAAAAAAATATTGACAAATTTGTGAAAACTAAAGTCGTATGTATTTTTGCACATGAAAACAAATCCCATCAATTTAGATATTAAAGTCCGTATGGTATCATTTTGGGTGAAATTAGTATGTGGTAAACCGACTTAATTATCAGCGACCATTTATAAACTACTGTTTAAGCTGTCAAATGAAAACGATGTAAAGTTTAGTTGGTTAAACCATGTTGAATCCATTTTTAATGAAACGGGATTATCTTTTGTGTGGTTATCTCAAACATGTATTAGTGACATTTGGTTAAAGAATACAATCAGAACATCACTCCAAGATCAGTTTCAACAAACATGGTTTTCAAATGTGCAAGCATGTTCGAAGACATTAAATTATCGAATTTTTAAGGATACTTTTGGGTTTGAGAACTATTTTGATATTTTAGAATTTCGTGATATTTATACTTTATGCAAATTTAAAACCATCAACCATAAATTACCCATTGAGATAGGGAGATGGACAAATATTCAGAGAGATAGAAGAAATTGTAAATTATGTAACTCTAAAGATCTTGGAGATAAGTATCATTATATTATGATGTGCACAGAGATGTCAGTAAAAAGAAACGAATGTATTGATAAAAAATATGTAAATCGTCCAAATATAATTATGTTTAAGAAAATTATGAATTTAAATATAAAATCTAAATTGAGAAAGCTGTGTACTTTCATTAGATTTATAAATTCCCATGTGTGCCCTCCTGGCTAAATACTATCAGTATAATTGTAAATAGTGTACATATTTTGCTCTGTGTATTCATGTATTTATGTCTGTATTATTGATGTCATGTAGTGTCTGTATACCATTGTAATTGCAAAGGTTTGACAGAATAAAGATATATATATAAAATGACTTTTCAGTTTCTTAATTGAATTATTGTCCAATGACCAATTTTAAATTTGACTTATGCCAGACTTTGTTTTTTTTAGTTTTGTGATTGAATTCTCCATAGTCGCCACTAGAATAAAAAAAAAATCTTTGTAAACTCTGCATTATTTTTTGAGTGATGCTTGAAATAGACCAGATTTTACCAATTTGTAGCCAAAATGCGAAATTGTGAAATTGTGAAATTACTCTATATTGTTAGATGCATGTAGTGCGCTGTTTGAGTTGATAAGTATATAATAAAATTGAGAATGGAAATGGGGAATGTGTCAAAGAGACAACAACCCGACCATAGAACAGACCACAGCAGAAGGTCACCAACAGGTCTTCAATGCAGCGAGAAATTCCCGCACCCGGAGGCGTCCTTCAGCTGGCCCCTAAACAAATATATATACTAGTTCAGTGATAATGAACGCCATACTAAACTCCAAATTGTACACAAGAAACTAAAATTAAAAATAATACAAGACTAACAAAGGCTAGAAATGAATGAATACTTACTTTATCAAAATGTTACACAATGAAGTTAAAATATTTTAATCCATTCTCTTCTCTATAGCAATTTTACAGCTCTTGCATCATTAAAATAATTCAAATGTGGAATATATATGAGATGTCATTTTAAAAACTATATTGAAAACTGTTATGCCTCGAATAATATCCATGGAGGTGACTATCATGCATCATTAATACAGAATCCAAGTCAAGTTAAAATAAAAAATTGAAATGAATAATTGTACTAAATTTAGAAAGCTAGAATTAAAAATCCGCATTAAAAAAACTGTGTTTATCATAGCTAC